TTATAATTGGCAGTCAACGTGTTAATAAGCAACAAACTTACATGTACCACTTTAATGGACGTAATAGGTTTCTGGTCTTTGGAAGACAAAAATCGGTGCTAACAGCTTCAGTGTTGTTCGGATCGTGTTCCAACGTGTAGTGGCAAATTTTGCCAGAAAACACTAAAAGAATATTATCCATTTGAAAGATTGGGTTGAGGTAAAAATTCTCACCCGTTGGTTGAGATACATACGTCAGATGCTGTACCTTTGAGTCGAACAGTGGCATTTTCCTCGGGATGTTTTAGTTTTTGGATGGTTTTTCATTTCAGGCATTGATTGAAAGTCTGGAAGGAAAGCAGGGTAAGCCTCGTCTCAAGCCTCCCTTCCCTGCCGACGTGGGTGTCTTCGGCTGCCCAACGACGGTAGCTAATGTGGAGACGGTGGCTGTAGCCCCGGTAAGCATGACCTATCCAAACCCCTAATTATTGGCCAGTTCGTGCTCATCGCAAACGTGAATGCACTTTGACACCAACCCACCAGAACAAGCCACGAGAGCGACTTACGAGTGGAAGGCTTTAACACGGTATCATTCCTCAATGAACTTCTCACAGGCATAGTATCATTTGCTATGGAGAATACTGACTTGAAAATGAGATGACTCAACCAGACTAACATATGATTGATACAAAACCTTGGCTGGTTCCCTGCCGGTTCAGTAGTTCTGGCGAGGCAGCCACTGTCCACTAAAGGAAAAATTACCTCATGTCTAGCTTGCCTCCTTCACATACTGGTACATTCCTTCATTTTTATTTGGTCAGTGTTGTCAAAGTTGTGTACAAGTTGAGATCAAAAGACAAAAAATACAAGAAAACTTGAGGATGTTTTTTTCAAACTGTGATGCATATGAGAACATTAAGTACTTTATTTATGCCCGGTTTTGAGGAAAGTTAAAGACAGTGATTAGAATAGCAACAAAGTTGGTCTTCAAAATTTTGGCCACTTTTGGAAATTGTTAGAAACAGAAGGAATTCCTAAATCTTATCAAATGACCATGGCAGCCATTTGATTTAAAGATCTCTCAATGTAGCTCTTATCCTTAGGTCTGGAAACCAAACCCCGAAATTAAAGCCCCCTCGCTTTCGTTCGTTTTTCCCCAGAGCATCTGTCGCCGGGGTGGCAGCTGGTTCGCCTCTTTTGGCCGGGAGCGCAACTCGGGCACCAAGCTTTTCAACATCTCAGGCAGCGTGGTCAACCCCTGCACGGTGGAGGAAGAGATGTCCATTCCCCTCAGGGAGCTGATTGAGCGCCACGCCGGGGGCGTGACCGGGGGATGGGACAATCTCCTAGGGATTATTCCAGGCGGGTCCTCAACACCTGTCATTCCGAAAAGGTATTGAATAAAGACAGAGACAAATTGTCACTGTCATTATTATCAACGCACTTTTTTTCTGCAGCCCTTGAAATTCCCCTTTACGTTTCACATAACCTTCATTTTGATTTAGTTTGGCCATTTTACCAGGTATTTTGGTGCCTTTTTCATTAGGCCAAACAAAAACATAGCTGTGCTTCTGGTTACCTGACTCAACCTAGAAACTCTCGAGGAACCTACATCTTTTTACTCAACAAATCCCTAAAATATAAAAACTTACGGTGCCTTGCCCTGAGCGTAATTTTGTGTACATCGTCCTGTCCATTGTGATTTTTTTAATGTTGCTTGAGATGGACAGCTCTTGTGTGTTTGTATTTCAACAACCAGCTGCGTTCCTACTCAATCACAGTGCTGATATGTAATATTGACATGCACATGTACAGTATGAAGCAGACACTGAGTACCTGTTACAACTATATGTGGCCCCCCCCCCACAGACCATCATCCAACCCGAATTTTTTGGGCTATGAAAATTGAGAGTATAAAAAAAAATTGTACCCAACCAACCACCCCAATAATAATAATTAGTTTTCAGTAACAAGAAAGAGTAGTTTTTGGTTTGGCCCTATTATGCCGATGCACATTTCTATATTCATGAGCAAGTGTCCGATGTTGTTCTTAATTTTGCATTGATCTGTGCCCAAGAAAACTGATTGAATTTTTTTATTTTGCTGTGCTAAATTTTCTTTTCCTTAAAGAGTTAACTGATGTGTAAATATCTGGCAATAAGCCAGTCAGCAACCCTTTTCCAGAAATGTCGTCCTCGGGAAAATGTTGGGTTCACAATTTGAACAGTGTCTTCCCTGAAATATGTTTCTGCAATAGCACTCCGCTATTCCAATTGTCATATCTCTGTCTTGCATACATGTACTGGCTTCTCATTGGTCCAGAACAATTACATGACGGAGACAAAAATTCATTTTTCACTCACCGTTAGACATCACATCAGCTAGCATTGTGTGACATCATGTGAATGCATGCACACGCCAGCGTCCCACAGGACTGCTAACGGCTATTGTTGAAAGATTTCTGTTACCCTTCATTTCTCTGAGAAAAAGTAGTGGAAATGTCATCGAGACAGCGATTCAACATATGATGTTTGGAATTCCCTCGGGTACACATGGTGCCCAAGGCAAAACCAAGGATGCTATGCATCCCCTCTGGTTTTCAGAATGTTATATGCTACACCACAACAGTCAGCACCTGTGAAATGTTTCAAAATATGCACCCTTCAAAAGTCTCAACCCAAATAGCATGCAAAATAGATTTCATACACTGTACATCAGAGCAGTGCATTAAAGAACAAAATCATCGCTGGGACTCTTTAAACCACTTTCTGGGCATTAGATTTGGCCCAAACCACTAGTTTTGTAAAAAAAAAAAAAAAATTTAAATATGTCCACCAATTTTTTAACCAAGTCAAGTACCACGGATCTTTACTCTTTGCGTCTTTTGTGCAATGTTTACACAACACACCTCATGTCTGTGAAACTATCACTATAAAACACGTCGTCTGGTATAATTGGATGCCCTTAAGATGTATGTTGTGAAATTACGTGTGCAAAGAGATCCCCAAACACAGCTTGTTGGGTAGGGATTTCATTTTGCAATCCAAAATTACCTGCACTAAACATTTTATTGGAAAATCCTCACAAACAAACCTGATAACAACCTATAAGGAAGACGATTAGGATGATTCGTATTTGGGTTTTTTATTTCAGTGAAGTTCCCATTTTCTACCTTGTACTTTTTATCTCAGTGTATGTGATGACGTCATGATGGATTTTGACGCCCTCGTGGCGGCTCAGACTGGTCTTGGCACAGCCGCCGTCATTGTCATGGACAAGTCAGCCGACATTGTCAAATGCATCGCCAGGCTGATCACCTTCTACAAGCATGAAAGCTGTGGACAGGTACTTGCACCATTAGCTCCTTATAGTTTGAGAATATTTCTGAGAATAGCTTGCATATGCCTGCATTTGTAATGTGAGTCCATATGCAATCTGCTGATAGCATTCTCATAACTTCAGAATATCCGGTAACATACTTGTACATGCGTTGATTGAGTGCTTAGGTTGAAAGTTCTTCTCTTAGGCAAATTACATCAGAAATGTAGCAGCTATCCCAAAATACCTGTAGCATGAATTCGTCAAATTCCACTGAGGTTGAACCTCTCTTCTTGGCTGTAAACACCCTCTTAATTGTCTGGTTCATCAAGTGGCTTTGTCTGCAAACTATCTGTAAAGGATCTAAAAAGTAGTACAAAAATATTGAACATTGAAAAGCGGGAATGCTGAAACTACATTGCTTTGACATAAATATAACGGGTTCTGTGTGATTACGCCACAAAACTCATATTTTCCTTTCAACACAGTGCACTCCATGCAGGGAGGGGACAGGTTGGATGGAAAAGGTCATGGATCGATTCGGTAAGATCTCGTTCACTGACTGAAGTAATCCTCAAATTCCCGAATAAAGTATTCCTGAGTGACTTATTTTGATCAGAGTAGGTTCGTGCACCAAGTGTTTGAGATTCACCATGGTAAAGGTATATTGTTCGGAATTTCTCTTGGAATGAGCGCGTCATCAGTTCGCACAAACTCAGCAACACCCGCTCGGATTGTCTGGATACCTTCTCGAGAGTTTTCATTGCATAACACATCCATTTTTATACATATTCCATCTGTCGTCAAGCTAGCACAAGTTCCGCTGAATGAAACCGTTGTTGCTATTTTTCAAAATTGTTCTGTATGTAGTAATAATGTTATGTTATGTAGTAATAATTATTGCACTTTAGTATGCTTGTAAAAGGACTTGTGTCGTGACTTGAAACATGACCTTGATTTGGGACTTGACATGAACTGTGGAAAAAAGAAAAGATTATAAAGATGAACAAAGAAATTGACTGAAGCGGGATTTGAACCTGAGACCTCTTGAATACCGTACCAGTGCTCTACCAACTGAGCTATCCAGCCCTATGTTGGTGGCTCTTCCCATTTGTCAATATCTTTGTTGGGGGTGCCAGCCAAAAGCCATTAACTCTAACACTCCTCAGTCCTCCAACAGGTGAAGGATTGAGGAGGGTTAGGGTTAAACCTGAAATGCCATGTACGTGTAGCCAGGGATCATGCCCCAATAACACAAAACAACCTCGGAAAAGGTGAGGAAAAAAAAAAAAGAAAGAGACAGAAGACTTGAGACTTAACTCGTAGAAACTGTTGGAAATGGTCACCAACTTTGACTTTTTTTAATCTTGTGTCGGCAGTTACTGGAAATGCAAAGCCTGACGAGATTGATATGCTATATGAGCTGAGCAAACAGATTGAAGGACACACCATCTGTGCGCTAGGGGACGGAGCTGCCTGGCCTGTGCAGGTATGGCCAAACAGAAAAACCTGAGGTCAAAAGGAGTCACAGGCCCCTAGAGCCCCCTAGGAGTGAAAGGGTTTTAAAAGAATCAAACATAGGGGTACATCAAAAAAAAGCTTCACTTACTCTTTCTGACAGAAGCTAGTATGAAGTTTGGGGGGAAAAAAGAAGGCCTTCAGACTGGTTTTGTTGGATCTAATTTTTGTTTTGCACAGCAAGCTTTCAGGAACTTTTTCTAGCAATGTCTTGCTCTAATTTTGGCACCAATTTTATGAAAAGCAGACATTTTTCTCATGGAATGTCCATTTTCCCATAGCAGGTCCACCAAAGGTACAAGCCTTTCTCACCATTGACTTCCTCAGATGAACGCAGGCTTACACTCATGAGGCCATGACCTGTAGATTACCACAACAAAACCTATGTTTGATTGAACTGAAGCGTCGCAGATGTACTCGATGTGAATGTGTCTACATGCATGCAGAGTTTCAGAAAGATTGGGCGTGGAACCACTAAAATCTGACCTAAAATCTGATCTGTGCCTGGTTGCACACTCAGGCCTTACATCACCAATTATCTGACAACGGCGATGACTCTGTTTTCCCTGCAGGGACTCATCCGTCATTTTCGTCCGGAGCTGGAGAGCAGGATGCAACGCTTCCATGAGCAGCAGCAGAAACAGAAGGCTGCGGCGTCCTCATAGCGTCTCATTTGTCCTTAAAAATGACCAGGAGTAGCTGGGAAGGATGATGGACCGACGTGCAAAAGTAATTTTCTCAACCTGGCACCTGTGTCAGTTAAGTGCTGAAACTGTGTGGACTGATTGATCAGGAATACCTAGAGTATCCAGCATAACTTCAAACACCGTCAAATTCTGCACTTTGAAGGGTAATAGTACACACTGCCATATTTTGCCTTGGATTCGGTCATAAGCAATCCATGAAAACAACTGTTGTGACACATACACCAAGTGGCATATGGATTACCTCGGATGCAGTGTGTATTGTATATAAATTATAAAATGTTCCTTTTTCCTTGTGTAGGCGACCTCCCCATGTCATTTTAGGCGAGCAAACTGCCCAGTCATTGCAAGGTGACATTGGAATGATTTCATTTATTTTTTGTGGAGTACACCAAAACCTTACATCTGTTTTGACTTCTGGATATAATATGACCAGAGATGTAGTTGAGTTTATCACAAGTTCAATCACAAGTCTTTTCATAAATCCAGTCATGAGTGACGGGTTGAACGACAGAAATGCTACGATCACCGTTCATGTGATAGTTTGTGAATTGACTTGGGAACTGGATGATCTGTGATGCACCCGACTACTGAAATTATAGCCCACATTATAGACTGGATGTGTGCATAGCCCCCTCCCCCAAGACAAAGATAAGATTTTGGGCCATTTCAGGTCGGTGTGCTCCTTTTACTGAGCTGCTCACATGCTCCACTGTTGCAGAGTAATGCAGACAGTGGTTGGGAAACCAGCACAAAGACCAGTTGTATATAAGTATTTTGATGTGAACTAGATGTGGACGAGTAACATAAACTTGAGAAACGTAGTTGTAAACTTCAGGTGGAATTAAAGGGGTGGTTATTTATCCAAGTTGAGATAACTCTAAAATCTCACATTTCAGAGAAGCCACATGCTCTTTCAAATTGAAGAGCAACACATGCTTGATTCTGTAACAAATGCCGCGTGATAAAAATTAAACGTCTGTTGACAGAGTTTTCAATTGATTTTTTCTTCTTGTATTTTTAAATTTAATATTGTTGAACAATAAATCCTGAGCAGTCATTAATGAAAACATTAAAAAAGTAGATGTTTACTCGAATTGAAAGACAACACAGTAAGCATTTGTGTTGTCAACATGTGTTGATTCTTTATTTCCAATTTTACTCATTTTTTTTTTCAAGCACTAGCTTGTATCTTGAACAAATTTGAAAATCTCTTTTAACTTTTCCGAGGGGAGGGGAAAAGTTTGGAGATGTTTACAGGCTTTGGAAATTGAGAACAGTGAAAGTCCCAAACATGTATTTCCTCCATAAAACACTTATATTGGATGGGGGCACTGTCTCATTGCCTATAGAGCAAGAAATGAGACCATGGGGTTCCCCCCTTCATGTCCAATCACTTTACACACTCTAGACTAGTGTTACCTTACACATTCCCCCTAGATGTCTGAAAAAGAATTCCTCAGATTCCAGTGAGACAATGACCAACACAAAGCAGGGGGGGTTCTCTTCATCTCATATCTTGCTTCATATGCCCGTTGCCACTCACCATCTGCCTTTTGTTCTTGATTGGTTGGGAGAAATTCAGTGATGAGGGAAAGGGATGAGAAAGTCATGCACAGAAATATCATGTGAATGCAATGAACACCAATGCACTTGTTCCACTCAGAAGTTCACATCATGCCACCTCTACAGCTCTGATATTCTAATCGGCCTTTCAATTGTGAAAGCCTCAGGTGTACACTTTCTGGGGATTTTTCCCAGATGTTGAGGGGACTTTCTACCCTGCGGGGATGATTGGCCTTTTTTACTCATATTTTTTCCTTGATTCACTGGAAGGGAGAAATTCCTTTTTTGGGGAAAGGGTGGGGGGGGGCTTTTGAAACTCAAGGCTGAAGTAGAAAATTTATCTCAATCAAAGTACACGTACATTTTCCCAGATGAAAGCCTTAATACTTTCACATGCCAAAGGCAACCAGAAGGCGTAGTCAGTATAAAGTTTAGCAACAAATACTTGAGCCTGGCATATGAATATTCCAAACTTTTATCATGATAAAGAATGAATGAGCTGGTTGCTTAAAGGGAACACCTAATACTTTTATTTTACAACCCTTGAAATTACACCATAGTGTTTGGAATAGCCTCCTTTTAGGGTTTTGTTTGATTTTATGATCACGGTTCGCTTTAACATTCAAGAGCAAACCGGTGATGTCAACCTCTATGTAAAAGTGATTGTGATAAAAGGAACACCTCAGATTCTGATATGTCACTGTACATGTAGTAATTTTCCATTTCTCTGGCATGCAAAAATCAAAGTTGGGGTTCAAAATTTGAACCTTTCTGATTAACCTTACAGCAACAGCACCCTTACTTGTCCAAAACAGCTCGAACAATTTTTAATTTTTAAAAAGTGTTATTTCATTACACATAACTCCAAAAGGATGTCAAACAGTTTTCAAAGATTGAATACAGTATAACAATTCACAAACAGTGAGTCTAATAATAAAAAAGCATTACACAGATCCTTTAAAATACTTGTAAGACAATTTAAATGTTATTTGACATAAAATGCAGCCCATTAAATTCATCCATTCTTCCACGGAACTCTTCTTTTGGATTCAATTCAATTTTCTTTGGATTCAGGTCAGTGTAAAAAAGCAAGCTCCCATCATAAAGCGAAATCCAATTCTGAACGTAATTGGCTCCAAAAAATATATAAACGAATAGATTCTTTAGAAACTAAGATAATTTCATGCCTACAGTAACGTTATAAACTACATGTAAGCCAGCCCGAGGGGTTGGTTGAAAGCTGTAAAACGAGCAAAGATTATGCAGATATGAATGTGGTTGCATAGAGCGTTTGATGTTTCATCGTCGGTTGCTCAACGAGGAATGACTTGAGACACGGCCAAGGCGAACAAAGGGGTGAGTGCACTTCCTGCTGGCTGGGTGTCTTAGCCAATCAGAAGGGAGTGACCATGGTAACTAGTCATCCCTCAGCTGATTGGTTGTTGCAGGCTGTGTTCTAAGAAAAGGAAGCTTGTATTTGGGGGGGGGGGGATTTTCCTTCATTTCTCTGGCAGGGGCACTACTACCGAAAAATAAATGTCTCAATATTTCCAGACTAAAACAGAAGAGTATATGAAACGCTTAAAAAAAATCAAGTGTCACTCCAACTACGAGCCGCAATGCATCTCCTCAAGTTACGGGTATAGCGCAAAAGCAGAATTTATGTAAAGGTGATCAGCCTTTCTCAATTCCTGAAATCTGGTTAAGACCATCAATAAAAAAGCATGTTATGCAATTTACTGCAGTTAGCTGCATTCTCGACTAGTAGGCCAGGCAACAAAACACGTAACACATAAACAAAACCTCAAAAAATGCTCTCTTTAGCAGACTGATGGCTGGTGGTAGTATGGTGCATTCAGCATTGGCTGCCATCCTGTTGCATACTGATGGGGTTGATAGTTAGCTGGTGGGTAGTACATCACAAGCGGGTATGGCACTCGTCGTGGATGTGGAGTTCCCATCTGCTGTGTTACATGTGAAGATTGGTCTTGGGTGGGGCCACCGAAAACGTTCCACTTTGCAGAGGGAACAGCGGTAGGGTTCGTCATTGAAGTCATCACTGGGGTGACACATTGATAATTGGGCACACCAAGTAGACTGCAGGTGAGACTATTTGGAGGGTGTCTGTCCCAGCTGAGGTAGTCATCACCCGCTTCAGCTGGTACTCTCTCCTTCAGTGGTCTAGACTCAAAGAGTTCTCCTCAATGACTTATGGGGTAAGTTCCTCCAGCTGCACCTCTAGCTCCTGCTGAAGCTCTTGTAGATGTGGCTCTGTAATTGGGTGGTGTACATGTAGAAGGGGTTCCCTTTTTTACAATGTGTAATTCCCTTAACATTTTATTTTTGTTTTCTTTCTTTTGTATGGTACACCCCCAACCACCTTTTGTTTTCGCTGTTGGAGTTTCAACTTGGTTTAGCCCATTACACCTGCGCTTACTGTAGACAGTGAGATCCCCTTCTCGAAAGTGGAGTGACCCTGGATCAGGGGTGGTGCTCTGGGCTGGGTGGAGTGGTCCAGTATGCTTCAGTGCTGTACCAGTCACTACCTATTCCAACCACCTCGTCTGTGTTCTCTCCTTTTCAGCCTGCCAGCAATCAAGGGTCTCAGGCCCCCCCACCCCCATCGCATACAGCAACATCATCCACCTCTGACGTGGCCTGCAACAGCGGATAGGGTTGTTGGGTTTGACGATAGCACTTGTCATCAGAGCTGCTCATATCTTGGGTTGGGCCTGATTGGTGGGCACGTTTCTTCGTTGAACGCAGTCTTCTCTTAGTGTGTGGTGGTATGGATTCTGGTGCGTGTTCTGATGCAGGGAAGTGATTATAGGGGAGAAGCAGGTTCTGATGAAGGACTCTAATCCTGCCGTTCCCGCTCTCTGACCTCACCTCACACACCAGCATGTCATCTTGCATCTGTCGGATGACAACGTGTATCTTCTTCTCCTCATAGGATCTTAGCTTTCCTGGACCACCAGTCTCGTTCAGATTTCGCACAAGAACTCGGTCCCCAGGCTGAAGGCTGATATCATGTACCCTCTTGTTGTACTGATAAGATAGAGAGGGGAATACCCAGTTGCCTCGCAAGTGAAGTTGTAAGCATGTACAACTTTATCCAGAGACGCCTTCCAGTTAGATTTCTGCTCTTCCGGCATAAACAGAAAGGTTCGGCTGCATCTTTCAACTTGCTCGTAGCCTTATGGATGGAAGGGTGTGGTCCTCAACCGTTCAATGCCACACAGCTGACGAAGTCAGTGAAACAACTGGTTCTTACAAACTCCCGGCCCTGGTCATGGTGCAACCTTCGAGGAAATCCAAACTTTAGGGCAAAGTCGTTGACGATTTTCTCTGCAGCTGTTTTACCAGACTTGTTGGGTGTGGCTTCTTCAAGTCGAGGGGTAACCGTGAGAGTGTATCAGCATCAACACTGGATTTTCCTGGCTTGTACTTCACATGTATGTTGAAGTTGAAGTCTGACAACTCGGCCACCCTGTAGCATTCAACTGGGCAGAGGTGAGGACATAGGTGAGCGGGTTGTTATCAGTGTAAACCGTCAAAGACTTGGTGTAATACTGGGAGTCACAGAATTTCTCGCATATCGCCCACTTCATGACCAGGAATTCTAGCTTGCCTGAATGTAAGTTGTAGTTGTTCTCTGCCGGGGTGAGAGTTCGTGACCCATAGCTGATGACCCTGAGATTTCCCTGTTGCCGCTGGTAGAGGATTGCTCCTAACCCCTCATTGGACGCATCCGTATGAAGGATGAAAGGAAGCGAAAAGTCAGGGAATACCATCACAGGTGGATTGGTAAGGCGGTCGAGAATGACGTTCAGAGTTGGCTGGTGTTCATTTGTCCAGGTGATTGGTGGCTTAGAGAGGACTTGTCCTGCACCTCGTTTGGCGGCCTTCACCTTGCCTCGTCGAATGGTATGGTGTTGGGGTTTCTCATGGTTATCTGCGCTGACAGTGAGGAGGTCGCACCTGATGAAACCTGCAGTTTCAGTTCCTTCACATCTTTGACTAGTGGGTTGGGCTTGGAAGTCTTGGGGGGTTCTGGGTCAGAACCCCCCACAGGCTGTGTTCTAAGAAACGGAAGCTTGTATTTTTTGGGGGGGGAGGAGGGAATTTTCCTTCATTTCATTCTAGCAGCAGCACTTCTCATAGAACTGCCATTATTGGTTGCAATGGACATGTAGTTTCAGGGGATACTTGTGTAAACCACTTATCTCAGCGGCATAGCCAGGGGGGCGGGGCTGACTGGATGTTGAACATAGACATGTACATAATCGGGATATGCATGTGTACCTTTTCCGAAATGCAAGTAGGGGACGACAGTTTTCCATGGCAGGCATGTGCCCCCCCCGCCATGCCGCTGACTTATATTCCCAAATTTTACATTAGAGAAATGAAAACCATCAATGAATTGAAATCAAAGAGAACGCACCAGCAGAAGTTTGATATGAAGACAAAACACAAAATTACAAAATTAAGTACACCAAGCTTTAAACTACTTTTTCAAAACAAGGAACTACAAGACAAAATGCAACTGAAGAAAAGCTCTTCAGCAGTTACTAGTCATTTCTACTTGAATCAAAAGAGGAAAACAGATTGTATACAACTTACATATAGGTCAGATTAGTTGTTAGAATACTTGTTCCCCGTAACATTTCCAAACCTGGAAATATCACACAGCACCGTCATTTGTTATTAAATAAAAGAATAAAATTTTTGGTTCAACCCTAAAGCCTGATTTTACTGCAATACATTCTACCTCCTTTTTTTAAGTTTTACGCTGGCCGGCTTGGAAAGAGTAGCTCATCCTTATGAATTTTGAAGCCACAACCAACGGCTGTCTAAATCCTGGTATTCTTCAACCACTCGACCAGTGAACATACATTGCACAGCCCTAATATGCAGTGTTACAGTGTAATGTGTGCATTACTGCAGCCGACAGTTCTTATAAATCGCAACAAATGAGAAATGTACCACAAAGAGGTATATAGAAAAAGTCAAAAATATAATGTAAAGTTTTTTAGTAAACCCCCTGTTTACTTCTTTACCCCTGAAGATCTCCTTCCTAAGAAAGATAAACAAATTCTCAGAATGATATTATGCATGAAAAAAGCTTAAGCCTTCACCTCTTTTCAAAAGGATATTAGAGAATATCAAACGGCACAAAATCTGAAAGAATATTTTTTGGATCATACTCAGCAAGACACTTCCAAAAAAAAAGAAAAAGCCAAGAAGTTACTGAAAACCCTATCCAAAATTTAAAATTTGATTTCAGTGCATCAGTCATTTAGGCTTACAGCTAAAGAACTTCTTTGAGAAGACACAAAAGGAATAGAATCTTTAATAAAGAGTTTCCGGTTCAAAATTGAGATCAAATCAGAAAAAGTATAGAATAGTATTGAGGAAAAAGTAACGAAAAACATAAACTTGTGGCTATTTGCCAATTCTATGAGCTGGGTTTGTTTCAAAATGCCTGCTACCCTTTACAAATATAAAAAACCACTTACAGCAGAAGTGAATTTGGTCTTATTACAGACTTACAGCAGGTCTTAATTTTTTCTGCAGAAAAGTAAAAATATATTTTCAGGAAGCTCACTTTGTAGGCAGGAGAGTTGTGGTTTGATTCCAGCACAGACTATCTTTGCCGCAATTGTTCACATTTTTTGAAGTATTAGCAAGAAGTTGGAGTTTTCAAAACATTTTAAATTTGCCAATTGTGAAATAAACACAAGTGAAAGAGGCTGGGTTGGGCAAATATGCGGTACGAAAAAAAAAAAGCTTACTGATGTCATTTTGCATATAATAGCTTGGAAACCTTCGGCCTGGTTTGGGAACAGTGAGTCATATATTGCTCAGATTAATAACAAGAAATTCTTTTTCCAAAAAAATGACCATTTTTAAGTAACTGGATCCTTCAACGATCTACAGCAGTCCAGGAATACTGAATATCACGTAGAGTGTCGAAGCAACCAGGATGATTAACACCAGGTTGATGTTGAGGAAGATCTTGGCCCGGGGGTCCTGCTTAAGGGCCGAGACCTCCCGCAGGTGCGCCCGGTGCTGACAAGCTTTGGTCCTGCCCGCAAAGGTGTCGTCGTAGCCACAGAACCAATCGTAGCCCCGGCGCACAAGAGACCTCTTGGTCTCCAGTTGTCCTGGGAAAAAAAAAAGGGCATTGCACCCAGCGAGTTAGAGCGATGCCAGTCAACGAGGGGAATCAGACCCTGTGCAGTGGTACCTTCCTCACCTTCCAGCTTATGCGACCCAGGTTCGAATCCCACCCAGGCCAACACATGGAGGGGTTTTAAATCCCTACCCGATTCTGTGGGTTCCCCCTTACCCTCCCCGAAATGTTTGCCCCAAATATTCCTTCAACATCTCAGAATTGATCATTTCTTTGTTGGCTTCTTGTCTAAATTACAATCAGCTTACACTGTTGGAAGACAACAAAATATGCATTAGAAAAATGTAAAGGATTGCCACATCCCGTGGGTTGGCATGAATGGGGAGTTGTAAGATCCGGTTTCGAGTTGAAAGCACGGACAAGATGGAGAGGCATGCATTATCACTACTAAATACAGTTGCCTGATGTCCACTTTTTCTCCCGACGCAGTGTAATTTGCATAGATCTCAGCTCTCTAATGAAACTCCAGCGATATAATGAATTCCTCCAGTTGAAAATTCCAAAACATTAGGCAGCTTGGTGTTTCTGCGAATGAAAACAGCTCTGCAACGGATCAGAAGATCACACAGTGGAGGACTAAACTCACGAAACCAAAGTCTGAATGGATGCAAAAAACAAAGCCATGTTGGTCCCCCATCATACGTACAAGGGAATATGGGTAAACTATAACAAAGAGAATATTGATGGCTCACCTTCAGAGGTGACAACTTGCAAACCATCGTTTAGTTCAATCTCCTCCTTGTCATCTTCAAAGTCATCCACGCGTTTGCCCTTTTCGAAACGTGTCCACCAAGTGGTGCGGATCAACTACGAAATGAAAAAGTGCAGTGAAAATTTCAAACAAGATAATCAGGACAGGATTAAGGCTTTGGAACACAAAGGGCCTAGTTATGAAGTCTGGGTAGGAACAGTGTACAGACATGATGTGTGCTTTCTCTGGTACATGTACAAAAAGCATGGCCAGTTTTCGTATGAATGTGTACGACCCTTTAGCATCTGTGCATGGGGCACCAGCCACACAGAGACAATGGCTTTCAAGTGTCATATTTGTCAGCCTTGAGGCTGTGCACAAAGACCAAAGCTATCAATATTTACATCATCAGTGACACAGTAATTTTTATGGATGCATTACTGAAATGGAGACCCGTGGGCAAATAGGAACTCTTGTCGGCATGAGCATCGTCTTTTGAGTGGCAAGAGGGACCATGGGAAAAGCTTCCTCATTTGATACTTGTTCTCATGTGAAGACCAATTTTATATGTCTCCCTTTATCTGGGTCACTCTGTGACTATTCCAGCCGGAGCTTGCAGAAAAAGACTTCTATTCGAGTCACAAAACATCAAGTACGAGCCCAAGTTTGAGTCACATCTCTCCCGTCCAAGTCCCAAGTCATCTGGGTCGAGTTCGAGTCCAGGTCACAAGTCACAAAGGTTGAGTCCAAGTCACGAGTCACCTTTATTGTTTCATTTGCAGATACGAAACCTTTTTTCCCTTCTATTTTTCTCCTGCAGAATTTCCCCTCTGCACTTGATCTCCCATTACCCCTTATCTTCAAATTGATGAACTCAAACTTTCTTACTTTTCCAATGGATGCCGTGACCGATCTTTGCACTTTCACAGACCATACGTACTGACGTCAGATCGTCAGACAGGTCAGACCCAAAACCAGCTCCAACTGAGATTCTTCGAACAGCAATACACGCGATTCCAAGCTTTTGCTTGGCAGGGCACTGGTCTGTGTCCAACAAGAGCAGTCTGATACTGAATACATCATCCTGTATTAATGCAGTATCAAGTCTGGATGGCAGGGTACATGTTTCGGTACATCCATTTCCCTAATCAGTATTTCAGAAACCAAGTGTGCACTGCAGTAGCTGCATCCTACACTGATTTGCTCAGTGAAAAAAAAAAAAGAAACAATGTAATTTCTACCAAGTCACAAGTAATGCAGGTCGAGTCCAAAGCCCCGAGTCTGAGTCATTTGTCAAAGTGACTCGAGTCCGAGCCCAAGTCATTAAAAATGTGACTCGAGTCAGACTTAAGTCCCAAGTCACGAGTCATACAAGTTGCACTCCTCAACACTACCTAACTAGGTTATGCCTGAAATTGAATGTGCTACATATTTTACAAGGTGACTGAAATGCTTAACAAGCTCTCCAGCCACACACACAAGAAATAATAAAGTTTAACACAATTAATTGATTGATTAAAACAAAATACACAAAATGATACAAAACAGAAAAAAATGAAAACACTGATGAAGTCAAATCAAATCAAATCACTTGCTTAAATTACCATTTGTTTTTGAGGGGGTACTGTCAGCAGACTGACCACCACATTCACGATGACCGTGATCCAGAACAGTATGAGGGCAAAGTACATGTAGTGGACTTTGGCCGTAATAGCCGGCCTCCTGTCCACCCCCCAGCAAGGCGGAGCTCGATAGGTGAAGTCCAGTATCATGCGGATCACACCCACGATGAAACCGACAACCAGCCCCCAAAAAGCACCCTGAAAGAAAAACCAAATCAAAAAGTAAGAGGGGCATCTGCAACCACAGCTACGACGGCAAGATTTTCTGCCGTCTCCATATTTTCCCTCTAATGGCTTGTACACATTTATTTACATTTATAAACAGCGAACACTGGCACATGCTCACTCCATTACTGCAGACGAGTCTCATCCAGCCAATGAGCTCTTTCAAATGATGAGGCGTAAATACAGATCAATGCAGGGACGCACTAAGCGATCAAACCGCTCATTTTATAACACGGGTCAGGCAGTCAGGTACGTAAATGGGAATTAATAAATTTCAAATATATATATATGTTTAAATCTTAACCTAAATTAATCAAAAATAGACTGTTATTGTGCTTTTTGTGAAAATTTTAGATACATGTATACATATATTTTAGGTTTTACTGAGTGAGCAGTCAAGTAATTTCTGCTATTTGTACTTTTATGAATATGTAGCAATAAATTTCTGTTTTATTCTATTCAGAGGCAATTCTCAGTATTGCCTGAAACCAAAACATATTTCTCACCGTTACTTTACCTTTTTGACACTTCAAGGCAGTGCCATGGAGTGATACTTGCTAGGGTGACACAACCCAGTCAGGGTACCACACACAGTCTGCCCCCAGGGACAAGACCAACTGTGTATCGGTGTGTTTACAAAACCAAAAAGGACCACTTAAGCTAGAGTGCATGTTTACATGTCATCCATTTGCCCATCTACAAATTGCCCAAATATTTTCACAAGTCATTACAACAACAAACGTTTATGTTTCTGTTTAACCAACTGCAGAACACATCTGGTAAAGTTACAAGTAAGATAGCACATTAAAAAAGTAAAAAGAGAAAATTACCGTAACGTGCAGTGATGTAAGTCTTAGAACCTGCTCTAGCTTTGGAGATCATCTCAATCTTTGGGAACTTACGGTTTCAGTCTTGATCTGGGAAGTCCAGATCTTAGTCATTGTCTTGGAAGTTAACGTGTAATTTTCGATTTGCTAAGTTGAGGTCTAGCTAAGGTCTAGCTCAGGTCTAGGTCTCAAAAAGCTAAGGTCTAGGTCTTGGTCTCAGAAAGCTTAGGTCTCTGTCTTGGAAGTTAAGGTCTCTCCAAAGTTAAGGTCTCAGTCTCAGTATCAGAAGTCAGGGCCTAGGCCTCAGTCACAGTAATGGAGGTTCTGACTATATCACTGGCCTTTCACCTTTTCATTTCCCCGGGGCCAGAGCAGTGCCACCAGGTAGACGGCAGCTATGGGCGGAGCCAAGAAGGAGGAGATCTCCTGGATGTAGATGAAGAGCTGACCGCCCTGCATCCGCTGAATGACGGGAATCCACAGGATGCTGATTACTGTCATGACAACCACCACCAACCTGAAATAGACAAGCAAACCCACCACCTCCAGGAATCAACACGGGCTTCCTCTGTTAACAGAGCTTAAAAGTTGACTTAAGCTCTCCATGCTGTTGTCAGTTATGAGAGGGAAGATTAACTTTGGCAGCAGGTGCACGACCTTGTGGATACTGAGGGCCAGGTAAAAATGCAAAGAACATTACAACTGACGTTTGCAATGCCAATCAAGCAATACTTGAGTTTCCAATTACCTGAAGGAAAACGACAATCAATCATTTTGAACCTTTTCAGGAGAAAAAACCAAACATCTTCATGGAATTAACTCCATGCCTAATTTTGTACATATTTTTTGGTATTCTTAACCCTAACACTCCTCAATCCTTCACCTGTTGGAGGACTGAGGAGTGTTAGGGTTAAGGAGGTAGCTCGAGATTTTGAAATTGTTATGCTACTTCAATTACACATACATGTACTCTGAGATACTGTGTGCCTTATAAATGCTTTGATGTCACCTTTCAAACCACTGAACATATGCTGCTGTATTTAGTAATTTATTTTATTGTAAATTTATAATATTTATAAATTTTATAATATTGTAATTTAAAAAAAAAAAACCCATCCTAATTATATGGCAAAACATTTCAACAAGATACACATTAATAAAGAGCCTACTTATTAATCATCTGCACGATTACACTATTTGTTATTTGTGGACGTTATTAAAGTCACTTTGGAGCGAGCACGCCAACCAGTTTGTGAGCAGCACTGCAGTGCGAAGCATTCGTCAGGGCTGAACAGGGCCACCGGCAAACAGTGCACAAGGCAGATGAGACTGCAGAAATGGCCCACTGGTATAGTGGCAAAACCAAAAATTGGTGCCCACTGCATATACCTTCCAACCACCATGAGCTCGCGGACACTGGGAGCTTTCTTGCAGCACTTGGCCCGGAAATATTTCCAGATGTCGATGGTGAAGAGTGTGCTGGTGCTGTTAAATATAGAGGTTAGGTCGCTCATCAGAGCGGCCAACATAACAGCTAACATGACACCGCGAAGACCTAAGGGTTTCGAGAAAGAGGTATGGACACAGTTTACATCCCACAGTCTGGGGAAATAAAGATTTGTTGGACAAGCCATACTGGTAAAAACTAAATCATTAATGCCTCTTGGCCAGCAGCCAAGGGCTTGGCACCTGGCCAAGATCTTGGCAAAAAAAGCCAAACACTTGGCAAAAGCGAAGACCAGGGACTGCAAAGACAGGTTCATTTAGCAGAAAGTGAACAAGTATCAGATTCAGTAACTTCACAGCTTTTCTTATCCCTGGGATTGTGCGTGGTCTTAAACGGTCTCCTTACCTACAGGTAACACCCCGAGGGCCAGTTTGGGGTAGGCGATGTTGCTACATCCCGATGGGCTGCCACAGACAGCCATGCATGTCTCCTCAGATGCACAGGCAACTTCATCTACCAGGAGACAAACAGAGAGGAAATTACTGACATTGGATTTCCTGACTTTCGGCTCACAGTTGGTGGAGGCTTTGTGGAGAGAAACATAACCCATGGCAGATAATGGCCTACCACAGAAGTCTGCACTTTTTACACAACATGGGTTCTGGTATGGTTGAAGAGAAACACTAAGTTTTATCAGTGGGTGCTCCTTATTTTCTGGTCGCTGAATTATACGCACCGGTGAAGAGCACCCGGCTGATCATGCCCGGTAGGACCATGAGAAAGAGAGGGAGGAACTTGATGTAGCCGGCCATCAGGCATCCACCTTGGGCATGGGACAGGCTCTTTGCTGACAGTGCCCTCTGAACCATCATCTACATTGCAGGAGAAACAAAAAGCCAGCAAACGTTGACCTTAAGTCCCCCTCTCGGAGCGAGGTTTCCAATCTTCAAAATCAAAAGTGGATGCGTGCTGCACTGTTAGAGTCCACGTCATGCACAGGCAACTTAGGTTATCTCACCCCACTGACAAGCACTGGTGGCAGAGGTGGCTTGTACACAAAGCACATGTCTCTCACCACAATGACCCGGGATTGATTCAAGTAGTTTGTTGGTTCTTTCTGGGGTGTCACGGGGGAGGGGGGGTTTCTACAGGATCTCCAGTCTTCCTCCTTCTGCCAAAAAAATCAATGCTATCAATATCTGGCTGTGCTCCGTGGCCAAACAAGGGTGGTCTGGTGGCTGCCTAAGGCTTCTTTACATTCACTCTGGCTCAACCATAATATTGTGCCCTTTGCAATCCACGGGGATACCAGTTGCAGTCTTATTGGGAACTTCAAAATACGGCCAGAGAAGCCGAATTATACCGTGTTAAGGCCCAAAGTTAGTCCAACATTTTCATTGGAAAAGCCTGAAATCAAGACATCTGCCTGGAAACTGTCATCCCTGAATTCAGCCTTGTGACCGCAAGGATGACTTACCCCCAATAAAATAAACACCCAATTAAAACGCAACACATTTCGCCTTCTAGTCTAACAGTATTAACCAGTGGTACTGCAGTAATATGGCCTATATAAAGCAACATCAAGAGACGCTGTCATCGCTGATGTGTGAAGTGAATGGCAAGTTCAGTGCCTGATTAATTCTCCCTCAACAAAAAAAAACAACCAAATAAATAAGGGCATCGACACTAAGGGAATACATATGTGCTTGGCCTGTCTTAAACGTGCATTTAAGACCGGCACAGGAGAATGGATGCGACTATCAGCACTCAGTCTCCTGAGCTGATCTTAAACTAACGTAAACATGTACGACAGGCACATGTTTATTCCCATCCATAAATACCGTTTTAGTCAGAGAGTCGAAAGAAGTCAATATATGATGGATTTCGAATGATTTTGTTCTCAAATTATACTTTCATTTTCCCGAGTACCCTCATCCATTTTATGGTATATTTCTTTTACAAGTTGTCCAACAGAATCTTGTTGTATGAACTTGGTGCGCGCATGGCGACCCATGTGCACACAGACTCTTAACCAATCCGAATCAATCAAACTGTCCTGTATCCAGGTGCCATGATTTACACAGCGGGTATTACCACTTTTCAGCGGCATTATCAAATGTTAATACACGGTCAAGTTGCTTATTGTTGAAAAGGGAGACTGTCTGTGGTATTTATGAATAATTTGTAATACATCTTGCAAGACTTAACACTATTTAAAGTAACAATTTGCAGGATGATTTACTGGTGCATGCATTTTTACTGATGTCGTGCATTTTTTAAGGGTACAGTAAAAAAGGGGGCTGAAAAGAAGGCCCTACATGCCACAGAGGGGGGAAGGGGGTTGCAAACATAGGGCCGAGTTATTGACGGGTGATTGAGGAATCAGCTTTAACGTGGTCACAAATGACGGGTCACCAAACAACACATATCTTGATTTTCACTCAGGAAGGAGAACTGAAGAACTTAGACAAAGAACCCCAGGGCAATGGAGAGAATCAACGAAGAACTCTACTCCCACTTGTCTTGGCCAGGATTCAAACCTGAGCGAGATGGGAAGAGGACAGTGCCTTATGCACTAGCCACCTGGGTGGTCACTGAAATCAGTGAGGGGGGCCTGGCCATCTCGTGTCTGATTGGACCGGGGAAACCCAGGTATGCCACCTGCTGAATGAAAAATATAAAAAATATGCAGAAACATGAATTGGCGTCTAGTACCTGGTCTGCACACCAGTACCAAATGGAGGCGGGCGTTTGGCCGAATAGGAAGCCCGCCCAGGGCATGTCAGAGTTGATGGGGTCCCGCAGCATCTGCCAAGAATCCTCCCTGGGGATTCCGCAGGAGCTATTGCCATACAACGTTTCATTGGGAATGGCTCGCATGTATTCTTCCTTAAGGGCTCCATAGCCGCCAATCTTGATAAAACCTAGATTAATGCATAACACAAGAAAAAAGTGAAAGCAAACAGAAAAACAAAACAAAAGCCAGAAAACAGAAGAGAAAAACAAACACTCAGCAAACTGTGCATGCATAGGGCACAACTATGTTGCAAATGCATCAAAAGTTAGATTCAAATAGGCTGATCGGTGTTATTACTTTGGTGAACCATTCAATTCTCATTTTACTATATTTAAGGGCATTTTGGTACCCTTACTGTCTTCATGCTAGCGTATATTTGTATGGTCATGAGTATGGATGAAACCGTCATGTTTACACTTATTTCTGCACTGAACTTAAAATCATATTTTTGGGGGGATACGCTGATTTGCTGTTTCGGTTCATGCAATTTGGCCAATGGGCAAGATTTTCTCATGATTACTTTCAACAAGCAATCTCAGATTAAAATTTGACCAGACAACCCAATGAGCACTGTCTCCCCAAAATGGCACCATAAAAACAATGTTCTCATTTAAATGTAAACAAGAAAAGGACATTTAAATGGTTTTAATAAGAAGTGTACTTTTCAATGCGTCGCCAAAAAGAGAGATAAAGCACACCCAGTTTTCGAATAAAGATTTGAAATTGCAATTTTTCTGCAGGGTGGGAGATTGGTGTATTTGTTACCATCGTTAAAGCCATTTTATCTCTTTGTTTTGTCCTTTACCGAAAACACAAATAAGATGCCCACAGATCTGTTTGGGGGGCTTGCAACCTTAAAATGTACATGTAGACCGCTCAAATAATGGCAGACCCCTCCCATCCCAGCCTGGTGGCAGTTTACATTACTACCACAAAAGTCTTTCATGTGTGATGATTTGTTCTGATGAGAACCTGTATCAACACGAAGCTCAAAACAGAAGCTCTGTACTTTGTTAAGTGAATTGCTATACCAACAATCAATTTGAGTATCAAAATGCAAACAGGTGTTTTGCTCTGTTCAAAGCTTTCTGGAAATAAATCACAGACTGTCCTGTCAACTGTGAAATTTCCTGACCTATATGGAAAGATCATGAAAATTACATGCAAAGAGTTTTCTTTGCATCCATGCTCCTGCACGTACATGTACCTTTCAACCAAGGTCTGTCTTTGTGTTCAATACATCTGTTTGGACAGGGGGGGACATATCTATTGGGTCACTTTTTGGGTGGAATGTTCAAGACCTGTTCTATGCTCTTGCGCATTCTTTAAGGAAACCTTTATCACATACTCTTGATCGAATTTAAAAAAACAATCAATGCATCAATCAGTTAATCAAGTGACCGGATGACACTTGTAGGTCTTATGGACAGCTACAGACCCTATGAAGGTCAATTACTAAGCCTCTATGCAACTACATGTATCAACTTTTTGCTAGGTCAATTTAGAAATCCTTGCTGATAAGATATTGAGTTCACCAATGCCAAATGTGGGCATGTGGTTTGCAGTACACGTACGTATATGGATCTACTTACCAGCAAAAAAATGAAAAACCGGGTGAAAATGTAATCAAATTTCCAAAATTGTATAATTGTACTTGTCTGCGGACCAGTCAAAGCATATCGGGGCGTAAGATACTGTAACTCATCGAAAACGAGCTAAACTTATTTTGCCATTTTGTACATACATGTACATGTATATTCTCTCCCTTGTTTTACGTGTACAAAATAGTGTAAGTGCAATGTTACTGTGTTTTAAATGTCAGTCTCCTCACAAAATGCCCAATGCCTCATAGGTTTATTCTTGTGCTGCATGTAACGGTACTTGCAGTGTCATCTCAAGGTTCAGTTAGGCTTCATATTCCCTTGCCAAAATTGAACCAGGCAGGCAAGCACAAGAGACAAAAAAAACTGTACATGCATCTTCATGTACATGCATTTTGTTAGTAAAACAATGTCAGTAATTGTAAGTACAAGTTCAGTTTGTACAAGACATTTTGTACATCCGTGTGATGTGCACGTTCTGGTACATGTACAGCTCTGTTTGATATTCTGCATCAAATCAGTACACTTTTACCTCTGGCCTTTTCCGATTTTTATATCCCAAATTGGCTGCTTGCTGTACCACGATGGAAGGAACCCTAATGCATAGTTTTGGTCCCCTGGGTTTTGCAAGGTCACTGAATTCAGTTATCAAGAGTTTGGGTTTTGTTGTTGAAGGGGTGGGGGGCTTTTTCCCCGAATTGAATTTCTGCCTTTACTAGTACCGTGCATTTGCAAGCTGGATGCACAGACAAGCATCTCGCTGGGTAGAGAATGGGGTACATGCACAAAGCCGAAAATCGACATAGCATCAGGCAGAGAAGGTTGTGCTGCAGGGGAAGGGGATTTTATCCCCTCTATTTAGAGTAAATCCCTACAAGGCTCAGATATGTTCAATCTGCCAGGACCAGTTGCTCTCACAGAAGTGCAGAGCTCCTAAACCTAAATGTAATCCCAGCTGCTGGGAGGAATTCCACGGAGATCTCTACTCTATCTAGAATTTTTTTTACAGAATGAAGTTAAGAGGCACTTAACCTTTTCTGGTCAAAGGGCACAAATGAAATCGACATTACAGGCCCAGAACGTGCTACATGTAATAAGAAAAACAGGTATCTACTCTCGAAATTAAAGGAATACAGATTCATGAAAACTAGCTGGTGAAAGCATTTTGCTACAGGAGAAAAGAAATGCTTTATGACTCATCACAGTGCCTTGGCAAAGGGATGAATGGACTCACTCAAGATCATCAACATGCAAGCTCCAAACAGCATGATGAAGAACTGCAGTGTGTCCGTGTAGATGACGGCTGCAAGCCCGCCAGTAACCGTGCAGATGGCTGTCAAGAGCAGCAAGAGGCCCACAGCCAGGTAGATGTTCCAGTTGAGGGCCTGCTGGAGGAACAGGGCTCCCGAAAACAGATTGACCTGCCACCAATTTGATTACAGAAAACAAACCTCTGTACCATTTGAACCCATAAAAATGAGTCGCAAATCCACAGACGTACTGTACACACATAAGTGCTTCACGAGTGTCTGGTGTTTGGATCGTGCGCAGTGAAAATTAAAGTTGGGAACAGTTTTCGCATGCACATGTAGCATTCAAGTTGCTGCAAATTCTAACATCCTGAAGCCACATCAGCTTTATCAAGTGCTATGAAACAGGCTGCAGTAGGTCAATTCCCAGCAAGATCATGTGTTATTAACTGCAGCGCAGACAACACTTTTTGATAGAAATTTAGCAGTGTTCCCCAACTTGTACTGACTATTGAATCTGGATGACCTGATAAACTACTGATGTGGAAAACCTCGGCACAGGATTCAGGGTCTACCTGCAGGATTTGGGACCTGCAGGATTCAATGCCTGTAGGATTCAGGGCCTACTTAAGGACCCCTCCTCAATTTTTGGTGTTGGTTTAAGGTCCAGCACATTTCTGGAGACCTAGGAAGTAGCATAACCGCCACATCCACAGTGGCAGCCAGACTGTACAGTTTGGTGGCTACTTCTGAAACATGGTGGGGGGGGGGGACAAGCCAAACTTGGCAGGCCGCCAGGCTACTGCCATAGGGCAAAGAACATTGGGGGAATGGCTTACCGAAATCTTGGTGAAGATGTACAAGACGAGGGAGAGCATGGCCAGGTAGACACGGATCCTCTGCCCTCCAAAACGCTTCCTCATGTACTCTGGTAAGGTGTAAACCTAGTGGTACCGATGCACATAAAACCCAGGGGTGGGATTGAGCAATGAAGAGCAATCAACGAAATACAGTGAAAAATTGACTTGGGATTAAGCAACAGAGTTGGTACATACATTGCAAAAGGTACCAACGGAATGGTTTGAAAAATGAACAAATTCACATCAATCCAGAAATGCGATCTCACCCCACTGGCAATAAACACTGGTAGAAACACCCATCCCAGAAGCTGAATGAGAAGACATGCCTGTCAGTTGTCACAGGGAAAAACAATGAAAAATATCAATGAAAGCTGATGACAATCATTACATGAACAGCTGGATAGCAACCGGTGCCCTCACACTGAATATAAAGGCCTACTTTACGCTGATGTTCATATTTGCTACTGTTTTAGTCAATTCTAAAACACTTCATAATTGAACACATGCATACATGTGCAACATGTATTCACACAGGGCATACCATGAAGAATGCACTCAAACAAATTTTCACTTCTCATTTGGGATTGTTTAAGGTGTTGTGGGTGAAAAATAGAATCAATTTCTAACCTCCAAAGTCCCTTAGTAAGTTTGCAAGAAAAGCTGAATCCTCTAGGGTACATTACCAAAGTGAAATTGGCATCTGTACACCACACCTGAGGGCTGTATCCATATTTGTGCAGACCCATGGAAAGCTCCAAAAATGTAGAACGTTCTACTACAAGCTACACATGTACATGTACATGTGTATGTAGGCCTACATTTATAGGTGTTTTTGAGATACAGGTAAATTCATGAAATTAGAGACAATGTGCCTAAAAACTAGAACATGCCACTTGTAAGATATTTTGCAACACCGCAAACAATGTACAATGGACAAACTCCATAGAATTGTACGTGAAGCCTGAATTCTCACTTTGCAAAATTTACATGCACAAGAATATGCTGAGCAAGTAACAGATGGATCCATCAATTCAATTCAACGTTTACATGTATATCCATACATAATGCATGACATTTTGGCTGGTATACTCAGTTACATGTATTACAAAGCACATGGCCATGTCCGAATCAGCTGCCGCTTGAAATCACACACTAGTCTATGGTTAGGGTTGCAGCCATTTCCAAGTTATTCCGAGTTCGGACACAGCCTATGCTTTTGGCTTCACAAATCTTCCCTTGGCAGCTCCATGAAATGAGCCCTGGGTGTATATTAAGCTGCGTCCAAAAGTTATGGCTGTGGCTGCAAATGATACATATGCTACTGACTGGTGGTTGCAGCCATATCCCATAGCTACATGTACCTACACTACTCCAAGCCACAGCCAGTTGATTAAGACATGGCTTTGTCGGACAAATTTAGGTAGCACACCTCGACTTACATTGAGCTCAAAAGCACCAACCCCAATGCCACCTGCAGCACCAGACCCTGCCAGGCCCACAAAGTGCTCGCTGCCGATGTTGCTCGCAAAGAGAGAAGCTCCAACCTTAGGGGACACAAGTGTGTGGATGTAGAGAGTTAAAATAGTGACTGCAGGGAGGGGCAAAGGCAGGGTAGCAGCGGGAAAAGGGGAGTTGGAACAGGGCCAGGGGCACCGGTGGGGAGGGAGGGATGAGAGGGTTGGGACAGGGCCAGGACAGGAATACATGTACACGTACAGTGAGCGATTTCCCCTGTATCGCATCGCAAAATGGACATTTTTTCATGACCACGTTTTTATCAGACATCGTTAGTAAATTTTGACTCAACGAACCCTGAAGTTTTCTCTCATAACCCGACCTAAGGACAGAGGTACCAGTAACTGAATCTTATATACACTGGACAGCAAAAGAAACTTGCCACTTCTGTCTTTATAAAC